AGCTCCAGCGTGGCCCTGACGGGCATGCCCATGGTCGGCCAGGCTGTGTGCCACAGAAGGCTATGGCCCTGGAGAGGCTCTGGAGGAGACTGGGGACGGGGGTGGTCTGGGGTGGGAGCTTTAGCGAGGGGGGAGAGAGAAGTTGCTGCATAGACATTTGGGAGGCAGCCTCCAATGTGACGGGGTAGAAGGTGCTGATGCCTGACTATAGCCACCCTAGCAGAGTGAAAGGACAGGCCAGTATGACCAGACAGGGCGAGAGACGGGAAGGGTGATGTGAAGATTGACTGCAAGCTACTTTCTGCTTGCAGGGCCCCTGCAGAGCGTGTGAGCACAGGCCTGAGCCTAAAGGGAGCTCACCCAGTCAGAGGGGAAAGAAAGTGACAGGGAATGGAGGCCTTGGCCTTCCAGCAGAGCTGGCCCTGAGAGACAGCTAGTGGATTCTCAGGGTGTCCTGTGGCCAGGTGTCCTTCCCTGGACAGAAACACGGATGAGGCCTCTCTCTTAGAACAAAATCTCTTTGCAGCTTTAAGTCAAACCTGATCTTTTTTGTTTTATTTTGTTGTTTGATTTTGGTTTTGGTTTTGGTTTTTCAAGACAAGGTTTCTCTGTGTCCTGGAACTCAAACTCACAGAGACCCACCTGCCTCTGCCTGCTGAGTGCTGGGATTAAAGGTGTGCGCCACCACCCGGCCTTGCCAAATCTGACCTTTGGTTTCCGTGAAGATGTACATTGACCACCCACCCACTCAAAGCACTCATGCTGGTCATGATTGCTGTCAGCGTGGTGGCGTGAGAGCTGCGGCTTAGAGAAGGAAGGCAGGTGACCCAGGTCCCTGGAAGTCACTGCTGAAGTACTGCCTGCGACCCACAGGAAGGGTCTGAAGCTTGGGTTATTTGCTTACCGTGACCCAGAATTCCTGATAGACCTGCTCAGCACCATGATTAACATCTGTGTAGCTCACCCAGTACGGATGCAGGAACACTTCATTTTTCAGCCTCCTCTTCCTAGTTTTGCAGATCATTGACCCTCTCTCTCCTAACATGACCCCTCACAACCAAGCTGTCCCCACAAGTGGACATTTGAATTCCATCACATCCCAGTCTTCCTCCCTGGTTCCAGCCACATTTCTTCCCCTGGACCACACAGGCCTTCATAGCTGTTCTCTCCACGTTGCCAGGGAATTAGGTCTAGAATGTGTCTGGCTTTAGCACCTCCACCATGTTCTCAAAGACCCTGGAGCTAGGTTCACATTGTGACTAGTGAGTATCCGGGGAGAACGCCTGTGCAGGAAGCATTGAAGTCTGGATCAGGAATCTCAGTCCAGAAACTGTGTAAAGTGTCGCTGGCCCAAAAAGTCAGAGTTGGTGACAGAGGCCAAATATGCCCGCATTGAAGGCCCCTGAGCCCACACACACCAGGCATTATCTCCACTGGTCACCCCCAGATGGAAGCGAGCAGCCCTTGTCACAGAGCAGGTGACACCAGAAGCCCCTCACTTGCAGAGTGAGACAAGATGATGAGAGGGGCAGAGCTCCAGCGTGGCCCTGACGGGCATGCCCATGGTCGGCCAGGCTGTGTGCCACAGAAGGCTATGGCCCTGGAGAGGCTCTGGAGGAGACTGGGGACGGGGGTGGTCTGGGGTGGGAGCTTTAGCGAGGGGGGAGAGAGAAGTTGCTGCATAGACGTTGAGGAGGTGGAGCCCAGCATGGAGCTAACTGTTACTCCACTGCTACACGCTGCCACCATTGGCTTTCACCAACCTGAGTTCAGCTGGGACACAGGCTCCATGTGGAGGGAGACAGGAGGCGCTAACATAGTCGGCCTCGGTTGCCTCCTCTGCCTAAGGCCTTTCAACCCAGAAGACTGGTCCTGTACGACCCCATGTCCTGACTCGGACTGGGAAGTGTGGCTAAGGGACTGTGGGGACTGTTAAGGGTTAGGACATTCACATCCTTTCCCAGCAACCCCACAGTAGGAAGGCCGGGGAGCAGGTGCCGCTCGGACCCTAAGCAAGGGGCCTGTGACACCTCAGGCTCCCTCAGTGTGGGTGCCTGTAGACCCTGGCACCCACCCTTCGACCCCTGCCATCCTTCTTCTAGGGTGAAGCCTGCTGGGAGTGTAAACGATGTGGGCCTGGATGCCTTAGACTTGGACCGCATGAAACAGGTGAGAGCCAGTAGCAGCCAGCAGGCTGGGGCTATCTCCAGCCAGTGGGTCCCACGCTTGACTGCCACAAAGGCAGGAAACTCGCCAGTGGACAAAAGGGGGCCTGGGCGCCCTGCAGCCTGCGTCGGGCCGCCCCCTGTGGGCCCCTGCCACTGTGGACTGAGGGGTGCTGAGAGCAGGCTGTCTGCCCCTTCACTCTGAGATTCTGCCCAGCAGGAGATCCTGGAGGAGGTGGTTCGAGAGCTCCACAAGGTGAAAGAGGAGATCATTGATGGTGAGTGGGGTCACTCCAGCCGGGGATGAGCTCCTTGTCCTCCCAGCGCCCCACACGACCCAGCCTGTAGCTGCTAAGACTGAGGCTCACAGAGTGAAGTGGGTTCCTGAGGACACACATCTCCCTGGGGCATAGCTTCTGTGTCTGAGATTCCCTTGCCTCAGCTTCCAGAAGTTCGCCCTGTGGAGGAAGCGGTGGGCCTGGAGACACCCTCCAAGTTCCTGTCCTTTCCTGTTCACTTCTTTGGCCTGCCCAGCCCTGACAGCACTGCCTCTAGAGAGTGCCTGAGCTCCTTCATAGCCTCCATGGCCCTGGCTAGGGAGCCCTTGGCTCCAGAAAGTGGGACTGTACTGCTCACCTCGTCCCCACCAAGGCCTTTAAGGGGCTGGCTCAGCCTGGAGCAGAGCCACAAAGCGCAGCCTGCCCTCACCCCAGCTGCTGGCCCCACCTATCACTGGCGCCCAGGCTATCAGCAGTGACCCGAGCTAGGAAGAGCCATGAAGCCAGAGGGGTGGCTAATCACAGGCTCCCCCAGGGGAGATGGGCACAGAGGTGCTCCTGAGACCTAGCAGCCAACAGCTACACTAGCTACCCTCCATGGCCACAGAGCCCACACTTCCTGTCTGTCCGGTGCCAGCAGGGGATGAGGCTGGGAGAGTGTTAATGAAATGTGGGTAAGAGCCAGCACAGCTGTGGAAGAGTCCGCTGCCTTACTGCTGCCCCGCAGCCTGGTCTTTGGGCTCCCTTACTGGCACCCAGGGAAACCAAAGCATAGCCCAGCTGTCTTCAAGAGAGATGCCTGGGGAGACACAGGCAGTGGTACGAGTCTCAGTCACTGCCTGCCACCGTCCTGTAGGCCCATGCCAAGAGCCTCAGGAAAGCCTGTGAGGGCCCTGGCCCTGCAAAGAGCCTGTCACCTAACGGTGGTTCCACTCTATCCACTGTGAGGGTACCAGAGCAGAGGCCTGTGGAGAAAGGGGCGATGTGGGGAGCGAAGGGAAGGGAGCCCAGGTCTGGGGAGGAAACAGGATGAGGGGGTGGAAGAAGGGAGAGAGGAGTGTGGGAAGGCTTAACGGGTCTCAAGCAGGCAGAACGGAGCCAGCCCTGGAGGAGAAAGGCCGGGCCCTGGCACCAGCACAGTCCACCGCTCTGCCATCAGAGACCCCTGCTGTACCACGTGCACAAGGCGTGCGGGGAAGGGACTCAAGGCCTCTGAGCAAATGTGAGTGCCCACCTTTAGGCTCTCGAAAGACCCAGGTCCCTCCCACAGCAGCCTGAAGGAGCTCTGAAGCAAGGCCTAGTCTGTGGCTTTTTCAAGTCTCGATCATTGGGGCGGAAGCCCACGAGGGCTGGGTTGTCTGGCCAAAGGTCTGTCAAGCTGCCATGCTGGTGGGCCTCTAGCCCATGTGTGGTCTCTGGCAGCCTGAGCAGGGTGCTTTCTGCTACACTGAGCCTCCTTCTGTCCTGCCCTTAGCCATCAGGCAGGAGCTAAGTGGGATCAGCACCACGTAAGATGGCACCAGCCCTGGAGGATTGCGAGGAGCCGTGCTGGCCGCAGCACACAGCGAGCCTGCGGAAGCTGGGATGTACTTAAGTCTCAACCTGTGACACAATATTAAAATGAGGAAACAAACTTCAACTCCTGCATTTTTAGCGTATCTGACACAGAACACCGGGTCTATTCTTTTTTGTATTTTATATTTGCTTATTTAAGTGTACATTTCTTTGGTTTATAGAGGGAACACCCCAAAACCACCTGCTTTATTAGATGGCTTCCGAGTTTTCTCCTAGGTGGCACTGTTAGCCCCTCAGCTGACAGTCAGAAGCTGGGTGCAGCGTGGCCTTTCCATGCCACAGAGCTGTCGGAATGCAGCTCAGCCCCAGCAGCCACCATGTTTGAGTCTGTCCACGCAGTGCGTGTTCTGTCCACACAATAATAAACCGTTCACTGTCCACACTTGGGCTCTGGCTCACTCTCTCATGCGCCGGCTCTTGGCTGCCTCTTTACAGGGAGTGCCCAGGACAGAGGATGCAGGATTAAAGAGCTAAGAACAGCCTCAGAGCAGCTTGACTCCATCAGAACATCCCCAGGACCCAAGAACATGGCCAGGCCACCAGACACCACCTACATGTGGAGCTGAGCTCAGGTCCTGCCTGTGGGGAGCCACTCTCCTGGACTCGAGGGTTCCATGGGCAATCTGCCTGTCCGGTGCTGGAATTAGATCTGGGGCTCAGGGAGGTGAAAGAAGCTTTGGCCCCATGGACTCCCTGCAGCATTGCCAGGGACAACCCTTGACAACCTAGGGAAGTCCCAGTACTTAATTTTCATTGTGGCTACAGAGAGCTTCTGACCCTTGCTCTCTAGGCCAATGTCCATATGGCCAGGAGTCTAGCAATGGGAGCCTTGTGACCATACCCCGTGTGACATGCCCTTCTTGAGCCTGAGGGAAGGGGACACAGGCTGGCGTTCACCCACATGGATTCAGTCAAGCCTCATTCTCTGGAGCCCAAGTTCAGGCCAAGACTCCTTCCTGCCGGAGAAGGACAACACACTGACTACAGACAAACGTTAGGTTTAATTTAGGGCACAAGAACAGAGAAGCCAGCTCCATGGGACCATAGGCACAGAGATTAGGTAAGCCTGGTGACTCCACCCACAGCCTGTGTCCCCTGTTGCTGAGCCCAGCAGGGCCAGAAGCAGCGTGGACTGCAGGAGCTGATGGAGGCGGACAGTTCTGTGGCCCTGGCCCACGGAGGGAGGAGATGTGAGTGTGAGACATGAGGCTGCTCGCTCGGGGCTGCAGGCTGGCAGGGCTCACAGGCGGTCCTCTGCCAGTTTACACTTGCGCTTAATCCTGGAGTAGGGTCCCAGGGAGTCCTCAAACACAAAGTCCCAGAGCACCTTCACCCACGAGTGGTGCTGGGGCAGGTGTGCATAGTACTCGGGGGCAATCTTCCGCACCTGTGGAGAGGGAGTGGGGGTCAAAGCTACACCTTGGCTGGCACTCACACCTCACAGACTCACTCACGCTCTGTCTCACACTCACACCGCTGCAGGTGAAAAAAGACCCCAGCAGGGAGCACCACAGCCTGAGTGCTCCCCCTCAGAACCTACCAGCTTTCCTACCCTAAAGGTCAAGGTGGGTCCACTGTGGTCCTGCAGAGCTCTGAGGCCTACACCCTGCAGGCCTTGAGTGACGCCTCTACCCTGACCTGATATGTCATGTCTCCCTCCTCCCCAGGAAGTGTTCCAGCCACAGCAGGTGCTCTGTGGAGACTGCTCCCATCAGAGGCAACCTCCATAGAGACTCAAGCTTGGCATCTGCCCCCTTCTCAAATGTGCATTGGGGTAACAGTTGAGGAAGGGGCAGACAGCTCGCTCCATGGGTTGCATTAGCATAGCATTGGGACAATCCAAAGTCACCCAGCCCAGCAATGTCCACACACTGGACAAGCATGCTCGAACACACGCACGCATGCGCACACGCGCGCACGCACACTCAGGAATGAGAATTCTCACTGCTGCCCTTTGCACACTTAGCAGCCATTGGCATTCAAGGCCTCTTGTCCTCCCCTCCCACCCCACCCCCAGACTCCCCTCGCATAGCCTGCCCCCACGGGTTGTAAGGACCTGTGTAACCTGTCAGCTCCAGGTTGGGAGCAGTGTGCCCACGCTGCCACAAGGCTGTGACAGGAAGTGAACAGCAATAGATAGAAGACAAAGCAGCGTGATTCACACGGTGCCCACTGCCACAGAAAGCGATGCCAAAACAGGCAAGTGTGTGAACAGGGACATACCGTCACCATCAGCTATCCCAGCAGCTGTATGTTAACCTAAGCTGCTAAACTGCACCTGCCTGGAGACACTCTATCCTATCTGGGTCTGCTTCGTCCATCTCCAGCCAGGCACTGGCTTGTGTGGTATAACCTTTACTGCTGCCCTGAAGCCAAAATGAGTGGCCATCTTACCAACACACAAAGGAGAAGTCAGCCTGGGAAGGGCAGAGCCCTTTCCCTCCCTCCTCGCTCCTCCCATGCCTGCTAAGCCCATGCTGAGCACTCACCAGTGGCAGGTAGCAGCCAGGGATGCTGGGGAAGTCGTGATGCTCCATATGGTAGCCCACATTGAAGGTGATCCAATTGAGGGGTCCATAGTAGGAGTAAGTCTCATGGCCCTTCAGGAACATGTAATGCTCAGCCACAAAGTGGCCAGAGATAGGGTGTAGGCCCAAGCCCAGGAAGGAGCTGGCTAGAAGGTAAACTATGGGTTTGATCCCCCAGAGGGCAAAAATGGTCATGTCGACTGCCAGCTGCACCAGGGTATTGAGTATCTCCATACGGGTCACTGCCTTGGGGTGCACATAGAGTGGCCGCAGCGAGTAGAAGAAGGGTTGTAGTGCCAGCCAGAGTAGCTTGCGGGCCGGTGTACAGAAGAACCAGCCTTCAAAGTTCGTGGGGATGTCCACATCCAGCCCGTCGCCGCCCAGGTAACGATGGTGGTCCACGTGGTACTTTTTGAAGGATGTGGCATAGGGTATGCCGATGGGCAGATTAGCAAAGATGGCAAACCAGCGGTTTCGGGAGGCAAAGTTTGTGCCAAAGGCAGTATTGTGCGAGATGTCATGGATGGCCAGAGTCAGCGAATGATTGATGCAGCCACCAAAGGCATATGACCAGAACAGCAGCCATCGCCAAGAGAGCCCCCGCACCAGCCAGCAGGCCAGCAACTGCACCAACACCATTCCCAGCACTGTCCATTTGAGGTGAGGGTCTGGTCGCATCAGGGACTTGATGGCTGGGTACTTGGCTACAGGGAAGACAAGAGTGATGAATGACTTGGCATTTATTTAGTTGGTTATGTTGGGGTTTTTTGCGTAGCTTTGGAGCCTGTCCTGGAACTTGCTCTGTAGACCTTAAATGTACAGAGATCCACCTGTCTCAGCCTCCTGAGTGCTGGGATTAAAGACATGCGCCACCATCACCCGGCTGACTTGACATTTATTGAACCCTCATCCTCTTACCACCTCCCATCTTCAGCCCCCAGTGGTGCCCGGAAATTATGCAGGATTCACCCCATACCCTCAAGGGACAAGGTGAGGCATGCCATATATATACTCTGTGTCTTGCAAGAGTTGTAGCCTCGACTATGGTGTGCAAAGGATCTCCTATTTCTGACCACCTTCAGGAAGATGCTGGGAGACTTCCCAGGGTGGGTGACATTTGCCACCAGCCTCAATAAAGCACAGGTGTCACAACAGGTCACACAGAGATAATGATATGCTAGAAACCAAAGTAGCACCAGAGCCACAAGTGTGCTGGCCCCCAGTGTTCCAGCAAACACACGTGCATGTCATGTGTGACTGGGTACTTGGACGAGGCCAGGCCAGAGAGGGATGATGTGGACTGGTCACTCCCAAACTCGTCAGGCACTTGGATCGGTCCCTAAAACAAATAAGCACTGTAAAGAAGTGTAGCCAACTCTCTCTCAGGGCATCGGGTGTCTGTCCTTCCTTACAAAGTTAGTGCTTTTTTTGTATTTTGTTTTCTAGAAAAGGAGCAAGACTAAGGAAGGGGTGGGGCAAAACAACTATGCCTTCTAGAAACTTCTGCAGAAGGTGGCAGCAGGTTCTGGTCAGACAGCAAGTGTGGCGTCCAGGAACAGAGGGTCATCAAAAACTTAGGGTGACAGATAATCCTAGGTCTGCTCTGTCCCCTGGCTCCCTGGACAAGGACAGACATCCCAGAGATGGGGCCAGCACTGTTCTGCAGAATCTTATCCTAGGGCCCTTCAGTCTTAAATTGCACCAGTATTCAGCATCAGCACCACGTTGAACAGGCAGTAGCCTCAACTTGCCTTGCCTAGGGCTGGTCTGTAGAGAACGTCTCCCAGAAATAGAGCAGGACTGAGGCCTTGCCTGGGATTGGAACGACCATATGAATAGCAGCGATAGCTTTATAACAGGTCACAGCCATTAAATGCTTCCAGCTTGCACACCCAAAGTGGCAGGGTTAGCTGAGTGCATTCATCCCCAGCACCGAGTGAATGGAGTGTGCCAACACACACCTGTAATCCCAGCACTTGAGGGTGGAGGCAGAAGGATCAGAAGTTCAAGGTGTTTCTCAGCCACATAGTGAACTTGAGGTAGCCCGTGCTGCATGAGACCATGAGTGAACAGGCAAGTCATGTTTCACCACAAGAAAAGAATGTTTGGCTGGACGGTGGTGGCTCACACCTTTGATCTCAGCACTCAGGAAGCAGAGGGAAAAGAGGGCCAGCCTGGACTACAGAGTGAGTTCCAAGGCTGTTATACAGAGAAACCCTGTCTCCAAAAACAAAAGGGGGTGAGGGGAAGAGAGAGAGAGGGAGAAGGAAAGGGAGGGAGGGAGGGAGGGAGAGGCCCATAATGGTACATGACTTTAATCTCAGCACTTGGGAGGTAAAGGCAGGTGGATCTCTGTGAGTTCAAGACCAGCCTCTACAGACCAGCCCTGAGCAAGGCAAGTCCCAGAACAGTCAGGGAAATGTTGTCTCCGGGGAGAAATTTCCAGGTCCAAAATACCTCACCTGAGCAATCTGGCATGGTCCCGAGATAAAGCCTTTCTAGCTGCCTGAAGGATCTCAGGACTTCGGGGCCAGGCTAAGGCAGCTGCCAGGGACTGTTTGTCAAGGTTCATGGTGGCATGTGGTGTGATGATCATAGGCACGTACCATTAAGGCATTCGTTAAGTGTTTCCCTTTCAACACTGCCCACAGTTACTTAATGCAGGGCCCCAGGTTCCTGGAAGCACCTGTCATTGGGAAATCAAGCTGCCTCCAGACAGTATGTCTTGTCTCTATCTTCAGCACCAGTGGTGAGCAGAACAATACATCCCCCACATGCTAACCCCACAATCTGTGACCACCTTAGGTAAAAGATCAAGAAGAGGCACATGTATCATCAAAGTCATCACAAGGCTCCCCAGGCATGCAAAGAGCCAATCTGGGAGCCAAGAGCTAAGCTAGGCATGAGGAGAGAGGCCACCTGTCTTAGAACAGAGAAGTTATATGAAGAAAGCGGGTGACTCCAGAAGTCAGGCAAGATCAGGGAATCTGCTCCCCCCGGGGAGCTTCCAGAAGGAGCATATAAATGCTAATGTCCAGAGCAAAGGAGACTGTGACAGGGCCATACACCCAAAACTGGTGACTCCATTCAGGGTCCCCTCCTCCCAGCCTTGGGACAGAGGCCAGCGAATGTGGCCTGGCCTCTGAGGGCCCTGCTGCTCACCAGTCCTAGCAGGATGGGTAAGTCAGGAAGCGTCATCCCTCTAGACTCAACAAAGGTGTGGCCCTGGGCACATAGGACAGACGGATATGTGAGCCACACTCTGGCCTTCCACTGGAGGGACTGCTCTTCCTACTGCCACCTGGGGAGTTGGGAGACAGGTGCAGGGCCAGGGTCAGAAGGACACCACCAGGGAATACCTCAGTGCTGCAGAAAACAGAAGGGGCCCCGGGACCATGGGGAAGGCGGCATGTCTCCATGACAGAGCAGGACATCTGCAGAAGGCTTTGTCCCCACCAGGAAAATCACATGCAAAGTGTCTTGCATCTGTGCATGCCACTAGCTTCCAAGTCCCCGTGGGTGGCCTCTGTGTACCTGCCTCACCTGCTTAGCTTCCCTCGAGCAACCACCAGACTCCCTCTCTCCTGCCCAGGAGCCCACTAGTTCCAGCTAAGGATTTCCAGAAGGCAGCTGCCCTTGCTTCCCTTTGGAAGGGAGCCAGGCATCAGCACAAGAGGGCGGGTTCAGCCACACCTGTACCAGGTGAGCCTCAACAGGTGAACTCCAGGGCAGCAGGGCCCAGGCCCTTGCGTAGTAGGTATAAGCTAGCCCACGCAGGACACGCCTCAGGATAGAGCCTAGCGGCAGGGACGTATGTGGAGGTCTTCAGACTGTGGACTTGTACTGGATGGTTTTGTGTGTCAACTTGACACAAGCTAGAATCAGGGGAATGAGCCTTAGTTGAGGAAATGTCTCCATGAGATTCCAGCTGTAAGGCACATTCTCACTTAGTGATCAAACGGGAGATCGCCCAGTCCATTGTGGGTGGAGCCGTCCCTGGCCTGTGGGTCCTGCCTTGTATAAGAAGGTAGACTGAGCAAGCCATGGTAAGTAAGCCAGTAAACACCTCCCCTCCATGGCCTCTGCATCAGCTCCTGCCTCCAGGCTCCTGCCCTGTATGAGTTCCTGTCCTGACTTCCTCAGTGATGAATAGCAATGCTGAAGTATAAGCCGAATAAACCCTTTCCTCCCCAGCTTGCTTTATGGTCATGGTATTTCATCACAGCAATGGAAACCCTAAGATGGGGCTTCTTGCTCAATAAGACCCTTCCCTTCTTCCCTGTGCAGGAAGCTCTGTGTGCCCCACCCCCAACAGCTCCCAGAAGGACTCTCCTGCACCTTGGAGTCTTAGCTGCCCTTCTGCCTCAGGTCCCTCACTGGACCACCCGTAAAGGAGAAGCATGAGAGGATAGTATGTCCTCTTCCCAGCCCATCCCGACGCTCCCAAGCAGCCTCTGGACAGACCCTATTCAACCCATATAGCTGCTAAGTCCCTCTGCCCGATGAGCATGCCACTTAAATGTCTCCGGTTGGTAGACACTGGGCAGTATCCAGCCTCTAGTCTGGATACCCTATGCATGCATCAAGAGTTCTCAGCTCTGCTGCCTGGCTGGGGAGCCCAGCCTTGACAGCCACCTAGAACTCCACAGCCAAGCATCACTCAAGCCAGTGCTTCCTCTCGGGCTGCCTTCTCTGCTCCACTTCTGATATGCTTTCCCTGACAGCCCACAGAAGCAGGCTGGCATTGGAGGTGGCATCTGCCCTGTGGGTGCATGGCCACTGAGTCTAATGTGCAACGTGCCAGTGTGTGTGTGTGACTTGTTCTTAAGGACCCAGAGTCTATGAGACCCAGAGGCATCCACAAGACACCCTTGTTTTGTTTTTAGGAACAGGGTTTCTCTGTGTAGCCCTGGCTGTCCTGGAACTCACTCCGTAGACCAGGATAGCCTCGAGTTCAAGAAACCCACCTGCCTCTGTCTCCTGAGCCCTGGGATTAAAGGCGTGAACGTCCACAGCCACCACCACCCAGGCCACATGACACTCTTAACCTGTACCTCTGAGGAAGCCTTGGTCTTTCTAGAAATTCTCCTGATGTATCAACTGTGTCATCAGGGATGATCCAGAGCTAGGCAAGAGAGCAGCAGAGAGGGCCGCCGGCTTCAGGCCTCTCCAGCACACCCTCCCTGTTGACCCGTGGAGATGGGGACTCCTCTCTCTGGTCTGCAGTAGGGTGTCACCAGGGACTCTTCACATCACTTCTGTTCTGAAACCATCAAGCCCCTCCTCTCCCGGCCTGACATCAACACCATCCAGGACAGGATTCTCCCACCCCTTCTCCAGGGATGCTAGTTAAAGCACAAGACTCCAGGGCACTGATCTTGCCTCCTGGTCATGGGACCCTCCAGCAGTTCAGCCTTCCCAGCTCCAAACTGCTTAGTGATGATGATGATGCCGCCAAGTGACCGTGGGCAGAACCCTCCTCAGTGGACCATGCAGTCACCCAAAGCCTTCCTAGACTCCCAGCTCCACCTCAGACTTCCCGGGTGCCTCCCCACTACTTTGATCTTTCCCAGCTGAGTTCTGAGCCACAGGCAAGCCTGGCCCCTGCCCTAGCATGTCGGAGGCCCCTGGGAGATCCACAGTGGTCTGGAGTGTCTTTCTGCATCTTACATCTGCCTCCTCACCCGCCACTTGTTAAACCTGCCATGTACCCTGGTGGTGGTTTTGGATACAGGTCTCTGTCTGGGGGTCCCCCACTGAGGAGAGATGAGGGTCCATTAACTTAGAATTAGGGGCAAGTGTGTAAGCTTGTACCATGTGCTGGACCCTTGAACTGAACCTTACCCACTGAAGAGGTCAGGGCAGTTGGGGGTAGAAATGGTCTCTGACCCTAAGGATTCTTTGTGGTGATGGAGCCATGTTACAAACTGAAGACCACTGGAGTGTGGCCTTAAAATGCCTCGTATGACCTCCATGAAGCTGTTAAAAACTACAGAAGGAACATGGCATTAAGACAAAGTAAAGCTGGCGTCCCGGAACATGTAAACCATGCTAGCAAAGTATGTTGGGGACATGGATACAGTGCTCCATCTGAGCAGAACTCAGGCAGCCCAAACTCAGATCCCTACATGGCCAATTAGGAAGTGAGGCCTCAGGGTGATTAAGTCCCAAGATGGGTCCCCCTTGTGATGGGGTCAGTACACCAGAGTGCTCCCTCACCTCTCAGCTGCATGAGAACATAAGGACAAGGAAGTGACCCTTACTAGATCATGCATCTGGCACCCAAGCTGACCCTGGCAGCCTTTGGCAAGGGGTGGCAAAGAGGTTTAAGAGGGTCTATTGCTTCTGTTTCCCTAGATTCCCAGAGCTACTGGGCACCAGACACAACAGAGCATTGAGTGAAAAAGGCCGATGCAGACTCACCTGGGGACAGAGGTAGAGGGTGTGGCATCCGAAAGGACAGCAGGGGAGAGGAGGGTACCGGGAGGGGTGGTGGCATGTGGGTTGACGCTTTTCCTCAGCTCTGCGTCAGGGATGCACCCAGGGGTGTGGGAGCCAGCCATGATAACAGCTACGAAATTCACGGCTTTCAGTTCCTTCCAGAGAGTTTTCACATTTACCGTATGCCAGTTTGCACACATACATGTGCCTGGGTGTGCACTTGTATACATACTTGCGCATGTGTTGCCAGAATATTTGTTTGGAATATTTGAAGCTAAGACCTGAAGAATACACAGGGAAGTCAGTTGATAAAATGGGAAGAAGTCGAACCGGCACTCAGGAGGCAGAGGCAGGTGGAGATCTGAGTTCAAAGCTAGCCTGGTCTACAGGGTAAGTTCCAGGACAGCTAGGGCTACACAGAGAAACCCTGTCCCCCCTCCAAAAAAAAAAAAAAAAATCAAGGAGGAGGAGGTAGTCATCATCGTCATCTAGCTACGGATGGGAGGGTCCTGTGCTGGCCTAGCCTGTGCCAGGTTCTGGGCTCCATCCCTAGTGCCATAAAAATAAGTAAAGAGTCCAGCACAGAACAATGCTTTCAAAGGCCAGGAAGTTGCCTGGGCCTCCCAGATTGGGGAGAAGGCGAAATGCAGAAAAGAGCTACAGGGTCAGCAGCTGGGTGTCTCTAATAGGCCAGAGTAGACGCCAGAATTCTGCAATGGATGCTGTAATAGAGCTATTAACTCCCGCACTGCTGGGGGCCTGTCCCCCACATCCCATTTCGAATCCCTGCTTGGTGCAGCACTATATACACCTGCCCCTCAGCACAACACTACCCCTGACCACAAACTGGGGCAAAAAAAAAAAACCCACCAGGCCCCCAAGGAGACCCTGGCACTAAGGATGGCCACAGAACTGGGCAGGAAGGCAAGCAGCTCCCTCTCCTGTAGTCTCAGGCCTTGCCTGGCAGAGGAGGCCTCAGACTCAACCAGATCCTTGCAGATCCCAGCAACAGGTAGGCTTCCTGCCAGCCACCCTGGAGTCTGCATGTCCCTGGCTGGGTGACCAGAGCCTCCTCGCTTTCCTGTCAGCCTCTCTGCCCCCTAGACTCTCTGGCGGTATTTCAGTCCTCTGCTCTTCCCAAAGGCCATGGCCACTGAGAGAAGTCTAGGCCTAGCCCTTCCTAAGCAAACAATCCAACCACTGACTTTTATTTCCTGGTTTCGTGTGTGTGTGTGTGTGTGTGTGTGTGTGTGTGTGTGTGTGTGTGTGTGTACCTTGCTTTCATATGTTTTTTTTAAAAAGCAAACAAAACTACAAAGCTATTTATCTTCAAAAAAAAAAAAAAAAAAAGCCAACCCAAGCTTGTGTTCCTGGGCCTGGCTCAGTGTGTAATGGATCAGCTTCCTGCCTGCCCTGCCCCGGGAGCCACATTCTTGGATGCTGCCATGGACCCTATTTTATTAGGACTTGGTGCCAGGAGAGCATGTTCTCATCCCAGGCAGCAGCAAGAGGTGGACTTTGGTCTTCCTGCAGAACACCCAGGGCCGACTCTTAGCAATGACTTCCTGGGACCTGACTGGGAGATTCTGATCTTAACCGAACACCTGTCAGGGCTGAGAGCCTGATGTAGCCAGCTTTGTGGGCTACAACTAGACCTGAACTAGTCAGCCCTGGGCAAGCTGTTCCTCCTCTCTGATGGGCACTTGGCTTCACAATTATGTGCAGGGTCCCTCACCCCAGGGTGGGGGAAGGAGAGATGGCGGGGCCTCTGTTCCCTTCCCCACCGAGTCACCAGCTCTGTGTGCATGAGGTTGGCACTAACAGCTTCTGGGGACATGTGTGGGGATCCTGGCCTGAATGCTTCACACGTCATCTCCCAAGTTGGAACAGCAACTTCGTAAGGAAGACTGTCTCCCTCCTTCCCTCTTACCCAAGCTGCAGCTTCCTCATCTGGACACTGAGTCACCCTTAACTCACAAGTGACTCTTGGAATCCTGGCCTGGGATCAGCCTGTCTGCTGCAGAGCTGGGAGCTTGAGCAATGGAGCTGGGGAGCCAATGCCTAGAGAGTGCCTTCACCTGCTTGGTCAGGACCATCAGAGCAGCCAGTGCGGTGGGGTGGAGGCTTTCCTGGAGGCGGGAACACTGAACCATCTTGGCCAATGCAGGAAAGACCAGAGCCCAAGCAGATAAAAGAACACATATCCCAAGTCACCTGCACAAACTGGTCAGCAATCAGGAAGCCACAGTCACTACAGCAGGGGCATCAATGAGGGCTCCATGAACATGACCACTTTTGCTATGCGTGGACCAGAGTGCCCCCTCAACACCACGCGGCTCCTGCCCTCCTGCCTTTCCCCACCAATCTCTCTAGAAAATTCTGGATTCATTCTAGGGCCCATGGCTTCTCTGGTTAGAGATATTTAGGGCCAGACTGTGGCTAGGCAGTTAGAGGGTTTGTTGCTTAGTGTGTGCAGAGCCCAGCACCCCATAAATATTAGGTGTGGGGGTGAGTGCCTATAACCGCAGTATAGGAAGGCAGTCATCTGTGGCAGCGTGAGGCAAAGGAGCTCAAAAGAGAGAGCTGGCCCCAGTGGAACATATCTTTAATCCCAGCACTAGGGAGGCAGAGAACAGGACCACAAATTTGAAGCCCGCTTGAGCCTGTGGGAGAGAGGGAGGTTTTCCTCCAGTCCCTCAGGAACCCTGCCTTAGCCTCTCAGTGCTGTACAAGACAGAGCGACCGGACCATTTTACAGATGGGGCGGGCCCGCAGGGGGTGGGGGAGGGCGAGGGCGCAGTTTCCAGGGGCAGCCTGCCTGGACTCCATGAACACCTGTAGGCAGCGACACACAGCTGCCATGTGTGTCTCTGCTCACAGGTCTTCTAAGGCCAGGTGCCCAGAGAATTCAGGAAGAGAAGCTGGGGAGCCAGGGGAGGGGCTTTGGAGGCCCCTACTCCATCCTTAGCACAGCTGAGCACCTCAGTCAAGGCACCTGCCCTCCTGCTGTGGCCAGAGTGCCTGCTGAGTTCACACAACCACAAGTCACAAACCCACAGGACAGTTTCCAGGCCCTGAGCTCCTAACTGCTGCGACAGCGGCCCAGGTGCACCCTGAGTTTGAAAGATGTAAAAGTCAGAGAGAAACTTCCACAAATTCGGGGCAGGCCAGGAAGAAACACACACACACACACACACACACACACACACACACACACACACTCATTCACAAAAACAAAACCGAGAATCTTAAGGAAAAGACCCGAAGACAACCTAGAGACCTGGACACTAGCAAGGAAAACGGAAGCCCACCGTTGAATAAATGCGAGGTAAACCCCGTTGTAGTCCACACAGCCAATCCAATGAGACAGACGGGTTAACAAATGCTAGAGCGCCAAAGAGATGGGGGAAATGAGCGCTGCAAGGAGTCTCCCCTGCACGGGAGGCTTGGGGACATCAGAGGAAGGCACTCCTGTCACGCACCCTCCACCTGCGGAGCCCGAGACTCCTGCCCTCCTGGTGGAATCCGCAGGACGGGCCCCACCCCGGGAAACGACCTCGCGGAGGTCTGCTGCAGGAAGAGTCCGATCCTGGGGGTCTCCTGCTTCCAGAGAGGGAGCTCACATATTCCCGCAAATTCCCACATATTGACACGAAGCAAGGGAGTCTGCACACAGCAGGTGCCTACTGGTTGCCGGTGAAGAACCCTTGGCACACACTGACCAACTCCCCGCCTCCCGCCACGCGGCCACCAGGTCCCCAGCTGTGGTCGCACGCGCTCACCGAGCATCTCCTTGCGCCTCTGCGTGTGCGGCTGGTCACTGTAGACCCACTCGAAGTCGCTGCGACCCGCGCTGTTGCCCATGGTGGGGACTCTGGGGCCTGAGCGCGCTCCGCTGAGTTGTGTTCACCTGTCGCAGGGTGTTCTCTGCGGGCGGGGACCTAAGGACTCCAGAGGGGGCGGGGTCGAGGCTTCAGTGCCTTGTGGGCGGACCTGGGGCGGGTCGCGATGGTTCCCTGGAACCCAAGGAGCATGGATTGGGAGATGCAGCCCTGCCACACCCTGGCAGCCCTGTAGAGGCCACAGGGGACGCGCGGAGTCCTTGAGTCCCTGACCGCGTGCCGACGCTCACTGCCACTTGCAGGCTGTGCCTCCAAAGCACCTGTCTCCACGCTTGGCTTGCCTCACCGCGGAGCGCAGTTCACTCTGATCTAGATGCGGGCGTTTGGGTCTTCTGACCCTGGCATCCTGGTCCCCACGGAGGAGTAAGTGGGAATGAATGTTGGGGGGCGAAGAACTAAAAAGAGGTGCCTGCAAGCCAGGAGTTTGGGACAGGTAGACTCCAGCAATGTCTTCCCTGCTTGTCCCTTTCAGGCACGCAAGGCAGAGGGACATAAAGACTCAACAAAAGCCAGGAAGTGAGTCGATCATGAGGGACAGAGGTGTAGGGATGATTCAGAGTGATCTGTGCCGTGCATGGCACAGATCGGCTTTGGAGCAGTTTTTGCACTGGACCTTGTAGGACAGGTAGGCAGTCAACAGCAAGAGAAAAGGAAAGGGACTTGATGGTTAAGGCAAGGGCCAAGCACATGGGGATGATGTCCGCTGGGAAACGCATGCGCCATGCTAAGAGAGCACTGTGGCTAGATCTGCTTTTGAAAGACTACCCGAGATGCTGTCACAGAAAACTCTGCTGGTCAGACCACTAGCCAGGCTCCTCAGTCTCCTCTCTGGGGTGACTTCAACTTGTCCTTTGGACCTTGGAGAGGAAAGTTGGGGGAAAGAGGAAAGGGAACAGAAGGAGTTGGCTGCATCCTCCAAAAGTCACTCTGGAGGAACTGACTACATGGTCAGGGGCAGGTGGGGCTCTTTCCTCCTTCGCTTCCTAGTGACAAAATCGTATTCCAGAAACGTTTATAATCCTGGGTCAGCCTGACCTGGAGGTGTTGTGTAAGAATGTTAATCCAAACACTCCACCCTAGACAGAGGCTCCTTTGGACTCTGTAAGTAAACAATTCACCTCATGAAGCCCCTGACACGGACTAGATTCGCAAAGCCCCTCCCGCTCAAGGATATACAAACAGGAGGAGTTGCCTGGACTCTGCAAGTTGAACAGAAAGCAACGTCCCAGCTTTCATCTGTTGCCATCTGTGCTGGGGTGACACAGCTTGCCTTCAAGTTATCCATCCTTCTATAAGTAAGCCTCTACCCATAATCCTATAAGGAACCCTGGTAAAACTGCTTCACCAAGTTGGAAGAGAGAGAGGAGGAGCTGCCTCGGACATCCTTCAGGTGAGGACTTAGGTCGGGGGTGGGATGGGGTGGGGTGGGGGGGTGACAGAAGAGGTCTCACCTGCTGTCTACCTGCTTCTGTTCCAGAGGCTCGGAGCCTTGTCTCTTCGTGGCCCTGTCTGGCACAGCAGCCAAGGCCACCACAGGCAGGCATGGGATGGAGCATCTCCTCTCCTTCCTAAGGCCCAGGAGCATGGACCACTCTCAGCCCTGCTGGAGCTGAGGAGGGAGGCTTAGACAGCTGGTGACATCTGGGTGGGGAGGGGCACCAAGGGGAAGACACGCAGCCAGACACTGTCCCCACTGCTGTATAGGGCAGGCCCTGCGCCACAGAGGCGGAGTCCATCTCTGCCACATCCCACCAGCTGCCAGATGGGGGGACTGAGCCAGATGAGAACATCTTACCTCAGGCAGGCAAGAATACAGGCAGGTCCCAGCGGCCAACCTCGTCAAAGCACTTGCCATGTGCTGACCTCCACGCTGACCTCTGTGTTCCTTCCATATTGATGCCTGTACCTGGGTTTCTGCTCTGTCCTCTGCTCACCACCTCACCTGCCAGCTTCCTGAGGCCCAGGTCAGGGGTGAGAAAACATGCTCTGCTCTTGGGAAGAGCCCAGAGAAAAGTCAGTCAGGGTACTCAATTCATAAGAGTACAAAATCAAGGCCAACCCCTGTGCTCAGGAGGCTGAGACAGGAAAATTGCAAGGCTGAGGCCCTGTCAAGGGAATGAGGGAAAGAAGAGAGAAAAGCGAGTTTGGGGTGTTTTGCACACACGCACACACACGTGTGTGTGTCTCTGATGTCTCCACGAGCAACTCTTGTTACACAAACAACAGTGATCCTGTGAGATAAGGGAGCTGAAGGTCCCTGTGGCCAAACGCCGTGGTAGCACATGCACCCTCACAGTGTCTGAAGGGACGCCAGTGGGGCAGATGTGTAAAGTCACGAGGTACCCTCGTGAGTCACAGCCTGTGGTAGTCCATGGCAGGCTGTGCGTTTGGCATGCTTCATGCGGTCATCGCCGTGTGTTCCTTGTGCTTACCGAGCAATACATCCCTGAGGCTGCCAGTGTGCCTTCGGGGTAGAACCCTTGCTTGGCATCACAAGGCTCACGGTATTTACAATGGGGTGGATGAAACGGAACTGTGAGGTATTGTACGTCTGTTGTGGCCTGTTATTTCACTGCCTTGTCTCTAGTGCAACATTTAACCATGTTCTGTGCATGGCTGCCTCAAGAGCAGCAAGCAACGACACAGAGGTTAGAGGCTGTGTGCTATAGGGTTGTGTAAACACGCTGTTACACTATCCTGTTAGCACAATGGCCAATCCCCTGGCCCCACGTATTATGAAACATGTCCTCACTGTCAAGTAAGGGCATGTATACATCTATGCACACACACACATACGCAATTATGCTTATCTCTATATTATATTGTTATTTAGTCTCTGGCAAGTTGGTAAGCAGAGACTCTCATGGCCTAGAAGTGGGAGAGAGCTTGAATGCATCTCATGTCCCGAGGCTTGGGAGCAGCCTGTGGTGGCTACTCATTGGTTCCCACTTAGTGTTGTAGTTTAAGAAAAGCAGGCTCTGGAGAAAGACCCATGCAACAGGGTTTGAGTACAGGGCTTTTTTTTTTTTTTTTTTTTTTTTTAATTAGGGAAAGGGATCATAAAAAGGGGAAAGGTGAGGGAGGAGACCAGCCTCTAGGACAGGAGCAGGAGGAGAGAGGGAGGAAGAGTAAGGGGAAATGGGAGGAGGGCAGGGCCCTTTAAAAGGGAACATGGTGTGTGTGCACAGGAGGTGCTCTTAGTGGCTGCAGTTGAGGGCGTATCCTGTCAGGACCCCAAGGACAGGCCAGTACAGATGCCTGAACACTAACATCCCTTCCGTTTGTTTATTATAAAAAGATGGGGGTCTTAGAAAGGGGTAGCAGGCGAGGCAGGGATGAGGACGCCATGTTCTCAGACTACTTCCTGCTGACCTGGGGGCATCGTTCATCTTTGGGGACCTGGGAAGCTGGGGTGCCAGCCATATCCTGGGGTAGCTGGCTGTTTCACTTCACTGCCCAGGCTCCGTGGAACTGTCAGGTGTCACTTGGACCTGCCAAAATGCTGTTCTTGGTGGATCCAAGTCAACTCCCTAGGGCTTAAAGCACCTGATCCTTTCCCATCTCCACAGCATCACCGGGACACGTTTGGTCGCGTTGGACACGTTGGTCTGTGGCCAACAGCTGGTGGTCCTGCAGCAACAGCTGATTAGGAATGGGCAGTGGGTCTCCAAAACACACCCCGATGGGATGAAGGAGGAGTAAACAGTGGCACAGCTCCCATGAGAGAGGCAGACAAGACAGACCCGAGGGTCTGCAATTCCGAGAGTCCCAGGGATTCAGAGAGGGTCAGTTTCCAGGGAGGCTCAGGCCACCCAGTGAGTCGTCACTCAAAGGGTGGGGGCCTAGGGCTCTGAACCCAAGAGAGACACAGTCACCTGGTACCAGGACTTTGAGAAAAGCCAGAAGGCGAGGAAAGAGCTGTGCTGGAGGAAGGAAGCTTCCCATCCAGGGGAATGGTGAGAAGCAGATAATTCCACCTGAGACCCAATTGTTGGTATTGAATGGAAGGCAAAGCCATCAGCAAACAAGAAAGCAGATTCATTGCAGGTGGAAGAGAGCGCATCTATTGAAGGGGAAGCAGGTGGGTGGGGCCCCAGCATGAAGTGATTACAAGGTGCTGGGAAGCAGAGTTTTGAGGGGCTTATTCCCCGAGAGTGAGGCAGAACAAGATCCCAAGGCCACCAGAGGGTCGTCACACAAAGGGTAGGGGCCAAGGACTCAAAGCCGGGAGTCTGATACCTGATACCAAGACTTAACAAGGCCAAAAGGCGAGAAACCAGGCTACAGAGATGAGTCCTCACTGGTGGGAATCGACTAAGGCAGAGTGGCTCACCAGTCATGACGATTTTGGATGGAAGGGCCCAGTGATCCAGAGAATCGAGGCTGTCATGGTGGAATGGGTTCCAGGGTCCTGGCGTGCCTCAAACTGCCTGCAGGCCAGAGGAGTTGCCAGGAGAGCCTTCTGTCAGGGAACCAATGTTGTAATTTAAGAAAAGCAGCTTGAGAGAGAAAGTGCCATGCGACAGGGTTCAAGCAGAGGGTTTTTTGTTTTGTTTTGTTTTGTTTTTGTTAGGGAAAGGGGAGGGGGGAGACCAGCCTCCCAGGACAGGAGTATTAGGAGAGATGAGGGGGGGAGAGTAAGGGGAAAAGAGAGGTGGGGAGGGATGGGAGGCGGGCAGGGCCCTTTAAAGGGGACATAGAGAGTGTGCACAGGTGTGCTCTTAGTGGCTGCAGCTGAGGGCGCATCCTGTCAGGACCCCAAGGACAGGCCAGTACATTTGCCTGAATACTGATCTTTCTTCATAGGGTTCTGGTGTGGGAAGCCATCTGAGGCCTTGGGTACTGTCTTTTGATGACAGAAACCAGGCCAGAACACATTGCTATCACACACACACACACACACACACACACACACACACACACACACACACGCCCTTCCTGGCTCATGGCCGGGACCCAAAGTCAGTGGCCTCCCAAAGAGTCATCCTAACAAAGAAAGACAGCCCTCCAGAAAGGGGGACAATAGGTCCCCAGGAAGAGAAGGAGTAG